GGGTCATGGAGTGGGAGCAGCCCATGGAGGGCACAGCCTTGGCATGAATGCAGACATGGGTCTCAGAGTACAGCAGCTGGGCCCCTCAGTCAATTACAGTCCCTCAGAGTTGGGCAGGGGATGAACTAGACCACACAGTAATATTTATTTATTATTAATTAAATTAATAATAGTAACTAATTAAATTAATTAATTACACAGTAATATTTGTATGTCTAAGGAAGCATTTCTCAGAATATGCTCACTGAACTTTTAGCCTATAAGTATCTGTACGAAAATTTTAAAAGGGGTTGGAAACAGTTTGGGACACACTCCATACTTTTCTTCCTCATGGAAGATCATAATCCCTATTAGCATATGAAGGGCTCTGAGAAGTCCTGTAGTAAAGAAATTTGCTTTAATTTTTCAGTCCAGCTATTTTTCAAACTTAAATGAGCAATAGCTTCCCGTCCTTTTTTCTACACTTTTTAGCATACTGCAGAATAAACTGAACATGCATTGAGAAAGACTGCTTTAGGGAATAGTTAACACTGTTTCCCTCCCAGTAAGCACATATAAAATCTGTATTTCCAGGGTGGATTATCAACACAGTTGCATTTTAGAAGTATTATCTGCCCTCCCAGGTATCACAGCTACTACGTGTTGGGTGCTGAGTGGAATTTTAGGCATCAGCCAACTACAGGAAAGAAAATCTGGGGCAGGATAAGATGGTCTCAGAAGCTGTAAAATTATATGCCGTTATTTGCCTCTTCGATCTACTAATCAATATCAAACAATTAATTCAGAAGAAAATTGATTGTTTTCTAAAAGTAGTTTTTCTACATTTCCCATTAAGAAGCAGTACTATTTAAAACTTATAATGGCTATTATGTGAGATTATCACTATCATAGTTTTTCTCTATAAAAATCTTCTGTATCATTATTTGCTAATAAAAATTAGATAATGGATTGATTAATTGATAATCTAAGAAAGATTGTATTTGAAGAAGCCATAGTAAGGGACGGATTAAGTTATCATCAGTCTAAACATTCTAATACTTATTTTTCTTTTTTTGAAACTTTCCACGTTTGTTATTATGCATTTAAATAATAATTTTTTAGACTTTTATTTTAGGTTCTGGGGTACATGTGAAGGTTTGTTACATAGGTAAACTTTTGTCATGGGGGTTTGTTGTACAAATTATGTCATCACTCAGATATTAAGCCCAGTACTCGATAGGTATTTTTTTCTGCTCCTCTCCCTCCTCCCACCCTCCAATCTCAAGTAGACCCAGTGTCCATTGTTCCCTTCTTTGAGTTCATGTGTTCTCATCATTTAGCTCCCACTTATAAGTGAGAATACGAGGTATTTGGTTTTCTCTTCCTGTGTTAGTTTGCTAAGGATAATAGCCTCCAGTTCCATTCATGTTTCCACAAAAAAACATGATCTCGTTCTTTTCATGGCTGCATAGTATTCCATGGTGTATATGTGCCACATTTTCTTTATCTAATCTGTCATAGACGGGCATTTAGGTTGATTCCATGTCTTTGCTACTGTGAATAGTGCCACAATGAACGTTCACATGTATGTGTCTTTATGGTAGAATGATTTATATTCCTCTGGGTATATACCCAGTAATGGAATTGCTGGGTTGAATGGTAGTTCTCTTTTTAGCTCTTTGGTCTAATACCTGTTTCTCAAGATCAAGTCAGATCTCTAAAAAAGGCATCATCCTAGCGTTCTCCCATCCCTTCCCTAAACTAAATTTAATGTGTGTATCAATCAGCATATAGTCAAGACAGAAACCACACCAGTAGTTTGAACAATGAACATTACATATAAAGAGTTATTAACTTATAAAAGGGTTATGAACTACTAAAGGAGGTAAGGAGAACTCTAAAGAATGCAGGAATGGCAGATGTAGAGAGCAGCCACGACCTCTAAGCTAAGGCAGAGCAGCCAAGGAAGGGGCGAACTAAAAAATGCCCTCCCTCCCCAGCTGATCCACACTTGCTGGAGGGGGTGTGGCTGCAACCCAATGGATGCCCAAGAAGTTTGCTGAGTTGTGGCATGTTGGGGCTGGTGAGCAGGAAACTGCCCGAAGGGGTACCAGAGAGATTTCCAAGAACGTGGGCATGCCTATGGCAAGGAAGATGCTCTTGGGGTGCCAGCAAAATTTACTGGGAAGCTACCCACTAGAGTGCCAGCAAAAGTCAGCAGGAAGCCACTGTTATGCTGTTGGCAAAATTCACCAGGCAGTGGGCACTGCAGGGTCTCCACCCAGCACTGGCAAATCAGCCAAAAGAACAAAAACAAAATAAAAACAAATCCTGGAACCAGAAAGAAAAACTCTGCCTCTTACTGTGACCCTCTTATGCCTTCTACAGCAGCTGGCAAAGGAGAAATATTTCTGGGGTCCAGCTCTAGACTCACAAGGCAGAACGCAGAAGAGTGGATGAAGCGCTGAAAGGCAATAAATTGATCACTGGAGCCTCACATCCTTTGCCTTTTTTATTGAGGGTCAATATATTAAGAAGAATGTCTGCGCCTTCGGTAAAATTATTGCTAAGGTTATCACCCAGTGTGTGTTTTCCACCTCCCTGATATAAGAACTTAGTGACAAGAAAGAATGAGATAATGATCATGAACTATTGGACCTAACCATTTGTGGCTTTGGTGCCCATCATCTCAGCAAGGCTTTCTCTCTCTCTCTCTCTCTCTCTCTCTCTCTCTCTTTTTAGATGGTGTCTCACTCTGTCACCCAGGCTGAAGTGCAGTGGCAGGATCTCGGCTCACTGCAACCTCCACCTCCTGGTTTCGAGTGATTCTCCTGCCTCAGCCTCTTGAGTAGCTGGGATTACAGGCACCCGCCACCACCCCTCCTGGCTAATTTTTGCATTTTTAGTAGAGATGGAGTTTTGCCATGTCGGCCAGCCTGGTCTCAAACTCCTGACCTCAAGTGATCCACCCACCTCAGCCTCCCAAAGTGCTGGGATTACAGGCGTGAGCCACCACGCCCAGGTCTCAGCAAGGCTTTCTCTGACTACACTATTTAAAACGTGATCCCTGAGCCACCTTGGCCTCTCTTGCTCTCCTTCCCTGCTTCACTTTCTCCATAGCACTTCTCTCCTACTAACCTACAATTTACTTGCTTAGTTTCTGTCTGTAGAATGTGAGCTCCATGAAGGTCAGGATTTTTGCCTGTTTTGTCCATCGATGCATCCCCAGCACCTGGAACTGAGCTGGGCACAGGCTAGGCACTCTAGAAATACTAGCTGAGTAATTCAGCTGAGTAAATGAGTGATCTACACAAAGTGGGGAATGAGAGTATACAGTGATGGTTCCTTTGACTAAAACTGGGGATGAATTACAGTGATAAAGAGGAACTCAGACCTTCAAAGGTAAGGTTTGTGGGCCACTTGCCAAGGCTGCAGAATGTGGTGTCGTTTCACAAGGAGGAGGCCCTATTATGGCTTCAGATATTAGAATGATAAAGAGAACTTTCCTTTCCCCTCAACTGCAGCCTTCTAAACTCTTCCTTCCTTCCTACGTAGATGAAGTTTCAAGGACCTCATGGCCTGAATGTGGATAGGCAGAATGCTGGGAATCAGGCAAAAATAAAATAATACTGAAAGTGAAGGCCATGCTAATATTAGGAAGTCAGGGTGATCCCAAATTTACAAAACATTTTTCTTTGGGAAACTTCATACCTCACATTATTCTGTGTTTTTCCTTGGGAAATTTCACAGCTCACATGATTCTGTGACATGTGGTACATGAGGTGCCCAACTGCTGTTTTTGTCCTCCACTAATGAGAAAGAGTGTGTGTACTCCCGGGGTTTTGCAAGTTTCAAAGTCTGACTTGACTTTCCTTCCTTTTTCTGGAACTGATCCATAAGCATGGAAAGTAAAGCTGCCCGCACCTATTCATTCAAGGTCCTGAGTGTCCTGCCCAGCTGCAGGAGTTGGAGAGACCCAGGAGGAGGGGCCACTGCTGATCCCAGGCTGCAGAGGGTGGGAAGAGTGTCCCAGGGCATGGTGACCCCCACTCACTCACTCACAGGAGACCCACACGAGAGAGAAAAGGGCACTTACAGCTTAGGTTCCCGCCAGCACCAACCCCTCTGCCATCGAACATCACCGTGTTTCTCTTTCTGCCTTGACTTTTGGCACACATGGAGTTAAGTTTAATGCTCAATCACATATTTGTCTGGGCTCTTTGTATGTTTATTTTTCTCTTAATAGTTCTCTCTCTGCCCCTCCTCTCCCCGCCTCTCCTCCTCCTCCTCCTCCTCCTCCTTCTTTTTTTTTTTTTTTCCAGGGACAGCGTCTCGCTCTGCCACCCAGGCCGGAGTGCAGAGTGGCATGATCGTGGCTCACTGCAGGCTTAAACTCCTGGGCTCAAGTGATCATCCCACGTCAGCCTCTCGAATGTCTGGGATTACAGGCACTTGCCACTGCATCTGGTTAATTTTTATATTGTTTATAGATACGGGGTCTCACTGTGTTGCCCAGGCTGACCACGAACTCCTGGGCTCAACCAACCCTCCCACCTCAGGCTTCTGAGCAGCTGAGACTATAGGAATGTGCCGCAGTGCCAGGCTAGTTTCTTAATTTTCTATTTTGACAGGTACACATTTTGTATTCAATCCTACCTCAGACACATCTGTGGTGTGAAAAGGATGTCATTTAATCAATATATAAATTCTAAGCAAATAGGTCTGGTCCCCAGATTAGGTTAGTCGCAGCTGCTGAGTTGTTGACCCAAGAGCAGCTCATCTAGATTTTTTCAGTATTTTCAAGTTCCTCTTCTCAGTTCATCCTTCTTCCAAACCGTGCCCTCCCCTCCCACCCTCTTCCCACAGCCTCCCCTCCCCACAGCCTCCTCCCACCATTCCAAATCTGGGCTGTTCTCTCAATTTCCTTCTCTCTGGCCTCAAACCTACCCTAGCCCCCAGCCTCAGTTTGGAGTTAAACTTGTCCCCCTCACATTCTCTCCCACGCGACTTGATGTCACCTCTGTGTCGTCACCACAGGACTTTCCTCCTCTGGGTTCTCCTTTGCAGAGTGGCGTCAGCTCCCCCATGAGCCCCAGCACCAATCACTTCCGGCTGCTTGCAAATCCCTTTGCTTTCCTCCATGTTGACACCCGGGGCAGCCCTATGCTCGCTGCTGCTGAGGCCCCACCTCTGCCCCTGGCCTTTTCCCAACTGACATCACCCTGTAGCTTCCATTTTCCTGGAATTCTCTTTTGAGGCCTCAGTCTTTAGACAAAGCACACAGTGTCCCTCAAAAATGACAATAAAAACCCAAACACTGTGACTCTCACGGCAGCTTCCTGGTCCCCATATCGAATCAGCGGGTGGGTTTCTGTAAACAATGGTGAGAGGCCACCTCAGAGGATCAGGACCCTCAGGTCTGGACTCGTGGTCACCATGAACATTCCTCTCTGCTGACGGTAGCTGGTACCTGTCACCTACTCAGAGTGTCACATGCCGCAAGCCAGAGGGTCTTGGCAGGTCTCAGCACCTTGACATCACTTCCTTGCTATCACTCAGAGCAGCAGTGACACAGTTCCCTTATCTCAGTCGGCCAGAAGACGACTGTCAAAGGTCACAGGGAAATCAAAGGCGGGGTACAGGGCCAGAGGGAGGAGGGAACTACTTCCCGGTTGCTCTCAGACGTTTCGGAGATCCTCTGGAGGCCTGGGGAAGCTTTAGAGTTCTTTATTTCAGTAGGTCCCTGAGCTCTGTGAGTGGCGGGGGTAGAGCCACCGGGGGAATCCACAGTGGTTTCTCGTGCCCCTCAGGGTCAGGAGCAGTCTGATCAAAAGGAGGTCATCCACTGTCTGGGGCCATTCCCACAGCTCCCGGATGCTGGGTCTGGAGGCTGCGCCCTTCCCCGCCAGGAGCTCGGCCCAGTGGTAAGTCATCTGCATGTCATCTATGTATTTAACCCCTCATGGCCATGTTGATGCTGGGCATGGTTTCACTTTTGCAAACATTTGTTTATACCCTTCAAGAGAAAAACATCTCAGCTGTTACAGGAAGCTGCTTTGGGGGGTGAGCAAACTTCTTAAACATGCAGAAATTATGATCTACACCCGTTTCTTAAAAGCAAGCCATGGTACTTGGTTCTCTTTAATGATATATTTTCTTTCATATTGTGTTCATGTAGGCAAGTCCTGTTTCTGCTGAAAGAAGGTAAGTTCTACAAAGACGGTGTCGTGCCAGCTTTATTTCCCGTGGCACCTGGAACACTGCTAAGCACTTTCATGCTTGACAAGTAGATTGAGGATGGTGCCCAAGTAGATGGGAAGTGGGCACACGTGAAAGAAATGTTTATTTCAGTATTCTGAAATAGGAAACTCCTCTGGCTAAAATGTAGCTTCAGAAAGGGAAAGTGGGGCTGTTTGAATCGGGGTCCAGTTTGTTGTTTCCTCCAGGATAAGACAGCTGTTGGAGGGGAAAATCATCTCCCGTTTCTCCGCAGGGCAGCCTGAATATGGCCAATTACACGCTGGCACCAGAGGATGAATATGATGTCCTCATAGAAGGTGAACTGGAGAGCGACGAGGCAGAGCAATGTGACAAGTATGATACCTGGGCGCCCTCAGCCCAGCTGGTGCCGTCGCTCTGCTCTGCTGTGTTCGTGGTCGGTGTCCTGGACAATCTCCTGGTTGTGCTTATCCTGGTAAAATATAAAGGACTCAAACGCGTGGAAAATATCTATCTTCTAAACTTGGCAGTTTCTAACTTGTGTTTCTTGCTTACCCTGCCCTTCTGGGCTCACGCTGGTGGCGATCCCATGTGTAAAATTCTCATTGGACTGTACTTTGTGGGCCTGTACAGTGAGACATTTTTCAATTGCCTTCTGACCGTGCAAAGGTACCTAGTGTTTTTGCACAAGGGAAACTTTTTCTCAGTCAGGAGGAGGGTGCCCTGTGGCATCGTCACAAGTGCCGTGGCGTGGGTAACAGCCATTCTGGCCACTGTGCCCGAATTTGCGGTTTATAAACCTCAGATGGAAGACCCGAAATACAAGTGTGCATTTAGCAGAACTCCCTTCCTGCCAGCTGATGAGACATTCTGGAAGCATTTTCTGACTTTAAAAATGAATGTTTCGGTTCTTGTCTTTCCCCTATTTATTTTTACATTTCTTTATGTGCAAATGAGAAAAACACTAAGGTTCGGGGAGCAGAGGTATAGCCTTTTCAAGCTTGTTTTTGCCATAATGGTAGTCTTCCTTCTGATGTGGGCGCCCTACAATATCGCACTTTTCCTGTCCACTTTCAAAGAACATTTCTCCCTGAGTGACTGCAAGAGCAACTACAACCTGGACAAAAGTGTTCTCATCACTAAACTCATCGCCACCACCCACTGCTGCGTCAACCCTCTCCTGTATGTCTTTCTTGATGGGACATTTAGGAAATACCTCTGCCGTTTTTTCCATCGGCGTAGTAACACCCCACGTCAACCCAGGCGGCGGTTTGCACAAGGCACATCGAGGGAAGAACCTGACCGTTCCACCGAAGTGTAAACTAGCATCCACCAAAGGCAAGACGACTAAACATGGATTTTCATCTTTTTGCATTATTTCACTTAAATTTTTTACACACTTGTTTACAAAATCGGATACAGGAAGAAAAGGGAAAGGTGAGCTAACATTTGCTAAGCATTGAATTTGTCTCAGGCACCGTGCAAGGCCCTTTACAAACGTGAGCTCCTTCGCCGCCAACCACTTGTCCGTAGTGTGGATGGGACTAGTCTCATTTCTCTGAGAAGAAAACTGAGGCTCGGAAGTTTGTCTAAGATCACACAAGTAGGAAGTGGCAGAACTGATTCTCCAGCCCTGGTAGCATTTGCTCAGAGCCTACGCTTAGTCCAGAACGTTGAACTCCAAACCCTGGGGACAAACTGCATGAAATAAATGTATTTTAAAACATCTATTTAATGTATTTTAAAATAATTCATAAGTTGCTTTTAAAACCAATTTAACTACATTCCGAATTATAAGCAGCCCATTTATATGGGAGTAATTTTTCAGGTGCATTTTCTCGCAGTTGATGAGAAGAACCAGTTAGCTAGAAGCTGTGGAAAAAAAGAGGTAAGGTAACTTGTTCTGAGGAAGTTCTCTAAATTCTCTTGGTCACTCACCACACCCCTAGGTCCCCAGCTTCCCCTAACCCAAGGTTTCTGATGTTTTCTCGTACTTTATCAAAACTATGGAATCTTAGGAGATTTAACAAAAGCAAATGAGAAACTCTGTTTAGAATGTCTAACAAAATGAATGTTTTGTCCTTTTAAGTATAACACATACCTCAGGCCTCACCAGCACATAACTACAAAATGTTGTCCCACTTCCTTTCTATGGCTGAGTCAGTAGAACACAGGCTCCCACCTGCCACATCAGCAGAAGGTCACCTCAACATGTGAGCTACCTTCCCGGCGACCCCCCAGATCTGTAAGGATGATGTATCCTTGATCCTAAAAACATTTTCCTGTTCCTGGTGTTCAGAACTGGACTCCACACTCACTGGTCTCTTTATAATCTTGCTCCTGGCCCTTTGAGGGCTCAAAGCTACCAGCACCTTGCTGCCAGGGGACAATCATTGCTCACGGCTGAGTCCTGCAGACACAGAGCCTGGGCTGGCTGCCTCCTCCTGCTGGCCCAGCATCTTGCTTGCACTAAAGAGAACTGGAGGATTGGCACTGATACTTGCTGAAAACCTACCCAGGCCACCCACTACTGCTGCACTCCAGGGCACCAGCCCACACTTCTCCCCTCTTGGCATCAGGCACATGTTCACAGCATTGAATCTTACAGGAAAGCAGTGGAACCCTCTCTCCTTCACAGGAGGCATGTGCCTTCCTAGCCAAAAATGATGATACCCACGGGCACAGCATCTCACATAGGGACACATAGAGATGTCTGACTCATTAAAACCCAAGTCTCTGGCCAGTTAAAAGGGGTCCTTAAAGTCTTACTTGATAGTGGTGGAAGGAAATTTGCTCTATATTGATGAAATGAGGTGGAGAATATCTGATTTTCCAAACATGAGAATTCTCCATATGCCACCCCATAACAAAAGACCCCCTATTTGTGTTAGACAAAACATTCAAAAAGCCTATTAGGATAGTGGATGAGACCCCCAAGGGACATGCTTATATAACAATAACTGGCTCCAAACCATACTCCATGGCAGTGGCTCTCAAATGCCAGCACACATCGAAAGCCCTATGCTGAAACACAGAGTTCGGGTTCAGGAGGTCTGGAGTGGGACCTCCGAATATGCATTTCTAACAGATTCCCAGGGGATGCAGATACTGCTAACCCGGGCCCTCCTTCTGAGCACCACTGTTCCAGGGAGGACGAACTCAGTTAAGTAAGGGTTTGGCTTTGTCCTGAGGACAATGTGGAATTTAGAGTTGAGGTGAATTATTCAGGAAAGTAGAGAGGTTTGGAGATGTGAGGGTGGGAAGTGCAGTGGAGGGAGGCAGAGAGGAAATATGAAGCAGCCTAATTGGAGAGAAATTAGGAAGAGGAATAAAATGATATATGTTAGGGATTTCAGTTTTGCTGAGCCCATGATCACAGCCTCTTCTCTGGCCCCTTGTGTCACTCACCGAGGCCTTGTAGCTGGGTCTACTCTTTCAGAGTCGTAATAGGGCTGTGGGTCTGACCTCAAGGTGAGCTGGAGTGGGCACAGATAATAGATAACACTGCAAGAAGTCTCTCAAGGGTCCTTCCCAGAACAAAGGATCTCTCCATTCCAAAGGCGAATGCCGGTCACTATCGTAAAAGAAAAGAAAGAAAGAAATTGATGGTGACATTTTAAATGGCAATTTTTCTAGCTTCTAAAAGAATGTGGAGCAACTGGAACTTTCATACCCTGCTGGTGGGAATGTAAGATGGTATAATCACTTTGGAAAAATTGGCAGTGTCACCAAAAGCAAAGCCTACACCTACTATCCATTCCACTCCTCAGTATTTACCCAAGAGAAATGAGCCTGTATGTCCATACAAAGATTTGGACCCAAATGTGCATGACAGCTTTATTTATATAGCCTCAAACTAGAAAAAGTGTGTCTATCAACAGGTGAACGGATAAGCAAACAGTGGCCTGTGTGCCTAATGTAATACTGCTCATCCACAAAAAGAAATGAGTTATTGATACACACAGGAGCATGCACGAAATCTAAAAATGCTGAACGAAGGAGGCTGGATTTTTATTTTTATTTTATTTATGTATTTATTTATTTATTTATTTTTGAGAGAGAGTCTCGTTGTGTCACTCAGCCTGGAATGCAACGGCGTGATCTTGGCTGACTGCAACCTCTGCCTCCTGAGTTCAAGCAATTCTCATGCGTCAGCCTCGCAAGTAGCTGTGACTACAGTCGTGCACAAAGGCAACTGGCTAATTTTTGTAATTTTAGTAGAGACGGGGCTTTGCCGTGTTGACCAGGCTGCTCCCAAACTCCTGACCTCAGGCGATCTGCCTGCCTCGGCCTCCCAAAGTGCTGGGATCATGAGTCACTGTGCCCAGCCGGAAGCCAGATATTTTTAAAGAGTACTTATTTTATGATTCTATTTATATGAAATTCTAGAAAATGCAAACAAATCCATATCGACAGCAAATCAGTGGTTGCTGGAGATGTTGGAGGGGAGAGGAGAGGAATAGATTGCAAAGGGGAACAAGGAAATTTGGGTGGACAGTGGATATGTCTATTTTTACTGTGGTGATGGTTTCATTGGTTTATACGTATGTCAAAAACGTAACAAGTTGTATACCTTAAATGTGATTTGTTGTGTGTTGACTATACCTCAAAAAGGCTATTTTTAAAAAAGCCTCTCAGCCTCCAGGCACTCCGTTATGTTGGTGTTACTTGTCTTGGAAATATACTCTGAGCATTTGCTGGAGGAGTTTGAGTGCCTGGGCCTTTGTCGCTTCTCCCAAGTAGAATTGGCAGCTAAAATACGGGATGCCCATGGGCACAACCTCTCACCCCCATCACTGACCAGGGAGCAGGGGGTGCCCCTACAGGGAGCACAGTCTCATCGGGAATTACCTTCCATGGCAAATAAAATCACCAGGGCAAGTCAAGGGAGAGACCAGGGAAGAGAGTACTCCATCCTATACTAAAAAAGGATGAGAAAGGTTGAAGAAAAGAGGGAGAAAGGACAGAAATTCTCTTCTCACATTTGCAGAAGTAGTCTGGACTCTCCAGCCACTTCTCCTCCAATGTGCAGGACAGGAATCTCGGAGGAAATGGCATCATCTTCCCTTGTTTACAGACACAGCAATGAACTCAAAGAACAATCTTATCAGGATTTTCCAAATGAAAACATGGAATGTATAGAGAATAAAGATCTGCAAACTCTTATGGTGGCTGAGACTGAAATGGCTAATGAAAAGCAAAAGTGTGTGCTAAATGACCCAGCCACAATGGCCCGAACACTTAAGTAGTGTAGTATATTTGGAACATTGACAGCTAACAAGGCTTTCCTCCCACGTCAGACCAAGAACACAGTTTTCTAAAGATAAAAATAGCACAAGCTTTTCCACTTTTCCATAAACGACTGCAATAGAAAACTAACAAACGGTGAAAAGCAAAATATGGCTAGTCTATTCAAGAAAAGCTGATGGTGTTTCTATTTTGCCTGTAAATTACTTTCCAGTACAAAAAACAATTCCTGTTACATTGATTACATTGATAACAATTCCTGTTAATTCTAACTAGAGACATACGAGAGAAAGATTGAAATCTCATGAGCTGTCTCCTTTTCATCTCAATTCTGTGTACTTCTGGGTGCAAATGGAAATAGTGTTTGTTTGTTTGTTTGTTTGTTTTTTGAGACGGAGTCTTGCTGTTGCCCAGGCTGGAGTGCAATGGCGCGATCTCAGCTCACTGCAACCTCTGCCTCCTGGGTTCAATCAATTCTCCTGCCTCAGCCTCCCGAGTAGCTGAGATTATAGGTGCCTGCCACCATGCCTAATTTTTTTTCTTTTTCTTTTTTTTTTTTTTTAAAGTAGATATGTGGTTTCACCATGTTGGTCAGGCTGGTCTCAAACTCCTGACCTCAGGTGATATGCCCACCTTGGCCTCCCAAAGTGCTGGGATTACAGGCGTAAGCCACTGCACCTGGCCCGGAACTAGTTTTAAAACAGGAAACAGTTGATATACTGAATGGAAAAACAATACAATTTGAAGTTGAAAAAGCAAAATAGGATGCCCAGTTAAATTTAAATTTCAGTTAAGCAACTAATAATTATTTAGTATAACTACATCCCATATACGACAATTGCAGTATTTGTTATTTATCTGAAATTCAAACTTACTTGGGCATCCTAGTATCCTGTTTTTTGTTTTGTTTTGTTTTGTTTTTCCTTTTGTTTTCTTTTTTTTCCTGAAATCTGACAATTTTAATTTTGACGTATTTATTCAGTTTTAAAAACTAGATCTTTTTTTGGCAGTCAGAACTAGAGCAAAGATAAATGACCCTAGGACTCCGTTTAGCAGGCAGTTAGGAAGCGTGATGGTGTGGTGGGTGGCAGCCCCGGCCAGGCCTTTCCTCTTCCCTAAACTGCCACAGCAGGACTGCCACACTCGGGAATCCCAGTTTTCATATGAGCAGCCCCTCCAGAGTTTGGAAGGAGTCAGTGCTTTAGCCCAAGGAGCTGCGGATGGCTCTAACACTTTGTTTGTTGGTTGAATAAAAATCAACACAAAGGTGGCCTACACTCATTGAAGTAGGAATGCCAGAACTTGTGTGGTGTCACATAGAAGAAAATATCCAAGTGCTTAGGGAGATGGCAGCACTAGTGGATCTACTGGATCATTAAGACTCACTCACCTATCCATCGCAGGTCTAGAGGACACACCCTTACCACACTGGGAAGTGTAAATGAGCTCCAGCATCCTTAAAAACAATCTCTCTAAGTGGTGGCTCTT